TCCAATAGCCTGTGCTTTTCTCAATATGGAAAAATTTATTTCACAAAGAATATTTGATAAATCAAATTTTGGCGATGAAGCGGATACAACTAACATTGATAATGAAAGTATGAAAACTGATTTTGAGATAAGTCCTTTTGAGGCATTGTTAGTAGCAAAAACAATTGGTTCCATAAGTAAATGGTAAGTACTGCTGAAGACCCACTAGATAATAAGTCAATGACAGATGGATTTTACTCAAACTTCGAAACTCCTTCTTCTCATTTATTATCCAGTGAGGAATTCTAGAAATGGTACTGGAAAATCAAAAGAAATTTCGAAGATACATTTACATTTGCCAAAAATTTGGAAAAAAGAGGAAGGTTAAATCAAAAGAAAAGGAAACAAATACTTTTTTGCATTAACTTCAGAAAAAGAGCGAAAATTTAAAGAAATTGAAAGAGCTGAAAAAAAAAGAAGTCAAAGCAGAAAGTAAAGTATGACGAAGGGAAAAAAATACTTAAAAAGATTAAAAAAAAAGATTAAAAAATATGGGGAAAAGAGTAAACAAAAAAGTGATCTAATTATAATAATAATAAAAACATCATCGGATTACGCAATGATAAACATTCATAATTTAGAACAGACTATTAAACTGTGAGAAAAAAAAGGAAATTTTTTTTTTTTTAAATCATGTAATCAAACATATTTTACTTTCCATTCCATGACTGAAAAAAAGTAACATTTTCCAGATTAACTGTGGTTATATATCGTAATTCCAAGAAAAATCTTGTTTTTAGACATTTGTGTAGCCTATGGATTCCTAACGAGCATCAAACATTCTCAAAATTAAGTGTTCATTCACTGGAAAATTTAGTGTTAATTCACTGGTAAGAACTGTTCCTACACTTGGTTATCTTACTGCTTATCTTATTGAGAAAAAAAAATTAAAAAATAAAAAATAATCACATTAAATAAGCACAATCTGTTGTATAATCATATTCTATCAGAAGCACGCTTTTATAAAACTCGACATTCGTTGAATAAAATGTTTTTATTCAATAAAATGTTTCATTCAAATTTCTTTACTAAATTGCAAATAGAATTTTAGACGACTAAAAAAGAAACATTGTATTTTATAGCTTAAAAAAAAATAAAAAGATTAGCAAATGATCATTAGCGAAAAAATTATGAATGAAATTTTACGCTGCGGGCGAAGTCAAGTTCCTAAGTTTAACACATTTTAATATTAATCGCCCCATTTAATCATTTCTTCATTGTCGCCAAATTATTTTTTTTAAAAATAATTAATTTCAATTTTTCTCATCTTCTAATAAATAAAAACAGTTGAAACTTTAGATTTTTCAATTGAAAAATATGTAGATTAATATGGTATAAAAATATATAATTCAACGTTTTTTTTATCCTCAATTTAATTAAAAAATAAAAAATAATAAATTATTAAAAATTGTTTTTTTCATGAAATTATTTTTGGGTAAATGAGTTTTATGAATGGGTGCAATTTTTTTTAATTGCTTCATTAGTTTTTAAAATATGACTGAAAACGCAAAAAGTGAAATTAACATTAAGGGGTCCAAATCTTGAATCACTCTCCCGACCAAACTATGGGGACCACATTTCCCAGATTGCGGCTACCCCCTATATTTTGAAGATAAGGAATCCAAATATGCAAAAAAAAATGTTCATTCAGAGAAAGTACGTTTTTGTGTCTGATTTCGTAACTTAATTGACAGTGAGCACTAATTAATTATAGCATATTTGAGGTCACCCCCAGGAGCCATTAAGATTAACACTTAGTTCTTGAAAATCCGATCATTAGAACGAAAGTTATTCAGGGTGATATCTTTTTTTTTTTTGCTGACTGTACATAATATTAAGAAAATACAAAAACACTTTCAAAGACTTTACATAATCATGTTGAAATAATTCATTTCTGGCAAAGAACACTATTTTTGATTTTATTAGCCATCAAAAATATTTTATGTATATATGTATATAAAATATTTTAAATATATTCTTTACTGAGTTGTTTTTAAATTAATAACTATTTTATTTAACTGCCTAAAAAAGTTGAGTTTGAATTTTTAAATAAAATTACAATTAGTTATCAGGTGTAATTTTTCATGTTTTAATAAAAACTCATAACACAACAAAAACAAGATTATAATATTATTCATTATACTGAAGATAATGATGCGTATAGAATTAAGGAAACTAAGAGAACTTTAATAAATTCTTATTACAAATGTAAATTAGTGAATGGCCTTTTTAAATTTTTAATATTTACTAGTAATTTTGTTCAGTACAGGGGTGCTACTCGCAAAATATCAAATTGTCTCACCAGAAATTGCATTTCGTCTCATTTAAAATCTCTTTTTGGCTCAGTTTGTCTCAGCTAAAATTATTTTTTGACTCAGTTTATCTCAGCTAAAATGACTATTAATCAGTTTGATAACAATATAAAGATAATTTTCAGGATCCATAAAACCATTAATAGCATACTAGGAGTACTACAATTATACATACATTCACTATTGCTATGATTTTAAAAAACCTACATATGATAGATTATATGAGTCCACAAAATTGTTTTGTGGACTATTTATCATTTATGCCAATGAATAGTATCTGTTCCAGAATTTTACAACATAAATTTTAACTTTCTTATTTTTTTAAATATAATGGTGTAACCTTTCTATAAAGAAATATCTATTTAGTTTTGGTAATTCAAAAGGGAAAATACCCATTTTATTTTGAGCTCAAATTTCAATTAAAAATATATAACTATTCAGTTACAATGGAAGGTCTACAGATTTCAATAATTAAAAGAGAAATTCAGTAATTAAATAATGAGAGTTTAAGAAAATGTGAATAACACGTATGGTATTTTACATTGCAATTGTATTTTATACACGGTTTTTAGATTGTTATACACCCCTTATTTAGCTCTTACCTTTTGGTATCTATTGGTATTCTATCCTCTGTATTATTTTTTTTTTTTTGTACTTTAATTGAATTTACTGTGCTTTACTTGTTGTTCTTCATTTTAACTACTTGTTACTACTTCACCCTCACTATTTTGGTTCTACCAGCATGATTCAAGCTGGCTTGATTGGCTGGATCCTTTCAATACCCTATTGGCAAGTGCATACATCTGTGATTTTGTCTCAGTTTTAACCTATCAATTTTAGCACTATATTCATTTATGTTATTTTATCCTTTCACCTTTTGGTGGATTTATGAGTTGTATTTACGGCTGTTTTTGGTGCAATTGTTGGATTTTTTGTCTTGTATAGAGGGGTTCACCAGCTCTGGCTCACAGCTCACTCAGTTTTTACTGGTTGTCTCAGGGTTAATAATTTTTGCATTTTTATATAAATAAATTTTGTATTTTATTTATATAAGGGTTAATAATTTTTGTATTATATATATATATAATTTTTGTATTTTATTTATATAAGGGTCTGTTGACCTATTTTAATGATCCATTGTATTTGGCGCATGGGCCTATTGGCCTAGGCCGCTGTAAAATTTAAAATTACAACTGCGTGATAACGAATCGCAATATTGGATTTAAAAATGTGTGAATGCGAATCGCGACGTTGGATTTTAAATTCGCGATATTGAATTTTTAAATTGAGTGAATAGGAATTGCTAGTACGATTTTTAAATTGCGTAAAAAAAATCGTAACACGTAAGTTTTAAATCAGTTAAATACGAAAATCAATGATTGATATTAAAATAGTCTGATTAAAAATCGCGATTTTAGCATATTCCAGTGCAGTTCCTAACATTTAAAATTCCGAAAATCAGCCAAACAAACAAAAAAAGAAAATCAAACATCGGCGGTCGAAACGAAACGCTTAGACTCCTTTCCACTTTATAGCGGAAGTCGCCGTAATCCGACTATCGTTCGGGCGGCTATGGTTTCTCTAATTGAACTCCGTAAAAATTTCAGTTATTGGAACATGGTCGGAAATTTTAAAAGTTGGGAGAAAAAAAGCGGATTTCCGCTTTTTCGCGGAAATCTTTCATCCCTGAATAATTATGTGCACTGTACAGTTTCCTAAGAAAAAAAAGCAAGACAATAACCAATAGTATAAGGGAAGAATACCCTCTTTTCTTACAAGATCACGTGCATACAATACTGATTGCTACTCACTGCTGTACATAATCCAATTGTAGACACGGCATATTCCATATGCATTCCAATAGCTGATTTGCCAAACGGAATTTTTGACATTTAAATGACGCATTTAGGAGACGTGAACGGCAAAAGGCTCTCCAATGATTCACGCCGATACGGATTAATATTTGAAACTGAATTCAGGTTTGTCAAATTTTGGACGTTTTGTCTCAGAATGGCGCTGCTTTGGCAAAAACTGCGGTGAATGTCGCAGTTATGCCGTTTTGACTCAGTTTGTCGCAAATGGCGCAGGCGTAGTATTTCTTTAAGGAAATACTAAAAAAAAAATTATTCAATAATTTTGAAAATACAATTTGTGGACAGACCCTTGGCACAAAATCCTGCATTAAAAAAATCTCATCAAATTCAAACGAATAAAAGAGTATGAAGATCTTGAAGTTCAGTGATAGTTGATTGCTCTGAACGCACATAAAAAAAACCCAACTTAAATAGTGAATGAAGCCCAAGTTAAGTTATGGTACTGATCTATAACTGCTCAGCTTGCCATGATGAAGAAATTAACAAGAAAGAAAAAGAACTTTTTATAGAAAAACAAAACATAATATTACCCTTTTATATCCTTTGAAATAAAAAAAACATTAACGCAACAATACAGTAATAAAAAAAAAACTAAAAAGTGAATGCGAAATATAAAAACTAAAATAAAACTATTTCATTAATTGCCACCTAATATCTTTGTAAAGAAAGAGATCAATATCCATATTCAGATATTTTTAATTGTTTTAACTTATTGGTAAAAATAAGAACTAGTTGTAAAAAATATGTATTTAAAAAAAAAAAAATGTTTCTGTACCTCTGGTAATGCAAGAAAAATAGTCATGATCAAAGTCTTTCACATTTTCTCCTGCTCCACGTCGTTTGTCAGGATGATGTTTAAGAACTATTGCTCTATCTAAAATAAAAATTCTCAATTATTATGTACATAAACAATTTATCATTTATAAAAATAAAATAAGTTTTATATATAAATAGTAAGATTGAAAATAAAATAAAAATCTGATAAAAGTTACCATTCTTTAAAAGAAAAAAAAAGAAGAATTGTCATTGTACTTTTCAGTGCTGATTGTGAGAGCTGTATTAAGTTCTCGATCATGGTCGCTCTTGTGTAGCCTTTAGCAGTCGAGTGATTATGTTGTGTGTGATCGAGACTGAGTAGCAACAGTGCAAAGAGGTGGATAATGTCGCAGTCACATGTAGCAAGTCAACTGTTGAATGTGGATCATCCATCGAAGTAGGCGTGTCCACATCGTAGTGGGCGTTTCAACCAAGGTAGGCGTGATCCCATAACGTCTGTAGGTCACCAATGTGGGGATGGTAGCTATCGACAATGTCAATCTTCATTTATGAAAAGGCACCCCCAAATACAACCGAGTTAAAATGTCTCCCTGAGGGAGAACTTTCTTGGAATTTCTGCGACAAACCTCTCTAGCACTAATATCTTTCTGCAAGATGCTTTTAATAATAACAAGTATGCATGTGACTAATTGAATTTGAAGTAACGAAACGTTGCGTTCACAATAAAAATAAAAAAACTTTTGAATAAAATAAAAATCTTATTTAAATTTTAAATTAATATGCAATGTTTGTTTTTTTAAATATATTATTCTAATACAATGGCGAGATTCTCCCATTTTGTATGAAGAAAACACACTAATTATTTCCTTTTGCGCATTTCGTAAAACATCATCTCATAAAAAAAAAAATCTTGTAATCCATAGCAGTGACTGCTGAAAACAAGGTCGCCGGCGAAATCACACTGATCGGACTCTTCAAGGAAGGGGGGGGGGGGCTAAATGCTTGTTTCGAGATTTGGTTGTTGTAATAAATAATATCGTATTTAAAATATAGGATTTTAAAGACTCTGTGAAATAAATGAACCCCTCCCCAAAAAAAAGAAAAACAATAGAATCATTGTTTTAAAAATTAAATATTCATAAGCACGATTCGAATTCCCCATATTGTCAGAAATATATTGGGATACTTAAAAATCGCGGGAAAATCAATATTAATAATCTGCCGAAAATACAATACAAACACTATCGGATTTGTGGTAGTATCGGCATAAAGTGAGAGCGTGAAAAAGAGATTATTTAATAGCGCAATTTAAATTTTACGTGTAGAAATAATATTGACTAAAAAATACCAGGAATTTTAAAAATCCCATAGAATTCAGTAGCATAGCAATAAGCCAAAAAACGGTGAAATCGTCACAGTAAAAGTAAATAATTATTAAATTGTATAAAAAACATCGGGATTTGTTTCTTTTAAAAATATGAAAATAGAGCGTGGATTAACAAGAATATTGGTGCAAAATAAGCGTGTCAAAAGAATGATTTCTGGAGGGGGAAAAAATCGTTCAACATTTCTGCAGAAAAGAAATTTTTTTCTTTATTATTCTATATTTTTCATTCTTAAATTAGAATAGAAAAATCAGGAACATTTCTTTCCTCTCTAATGTGCGAAAAAGGCATCTTTTAAATGTAATTTTAGAGAAAAAAAATTTCTGCAGAAAAGAAAACCAAAATTCCTTACTTCCTAACAGAAAATTCTTTCTTCAGCAACATTCTGCGACAATGTCGCTGTGTCACCGCGATTCTGCCACGGGAAAATGTCTTATATACTAGTGAATTTAATTGTAATTTTTCTAGTGGTAGACACGCTACAGTCTGTTTTGATAAAAATAAAGCTTCATTTATTGGAATCATATAATGTGAATAATAAGATAATTAAGCACAAATGCATTTTCAATAACATAATTATACTCATGTAGGAGTGGTGATAAGGAATATGGGAGCAATTTGAATTTCAACCATTAGTTGGAAAATATCTGTGGTTTGACTGACATTGACTTTATGAAGAAACTCCAAATTAAAACTTAACTTTTTATTTAAATAAAAAAATAATATAATCTCAGGTCAGACGCACCTCTCTTGTTGCCAATCAAAAAAAATTAAGACTTCTTTTAGAAATTAGGTAATTTCCAAAAACTCCATCTCTGAATTAACACAAATCGTAAACAAATAAATGCTGACAGAAAACCCCATTTATATATATAAAAAAAAGGATTGATGCATTACTACAATCACTGAACGCCATAGAGAGGACTTACAAGCCTTTTTAATTTCCTCATCTTTAGCCGAAATACGCTTCTTTTTTAAGCCTAAAACTGCATAATGATCTTGATCCTGAAAGAAAGTAATACAAATAATAAGAACAAAATTTACAAACAACATTTAATAATATATAATCTCATTATTTCTGAGGCATTCTAAAAACAAAATTTTATCCCTGCTTTTTTTCCGGCATACATTATATATGTAACGGAAGTTTAGTTTAGTTTATGTTATTTCACATAGTAAATATAATCTCTAATAATATCTAACTTCTTCAGAATTGAAGTATAAAGGAATTTAGAAAGGAAAAAAAAAGGTATTCTACAGTTCTGAATTTCTATTTTAATGCCATAAATCTTAATGAGACAAATACTGAATTCTAATGAGAGGGGGCTAACAATTTTAGGTACACATACGTGGCCCACAAGTTTTGACTAGGTAAAAGAATAAAAATATTTCAAATGTTAAATTGCCAACGTAGGCACAAACATGCCAATTGTTTATGGTCAATTTAAATACAATGGTGAATAGATTTATTTCAATTACCTAAAACAAATAATTGAAAAAAAGAAATAAAGTCAAAGTCATTAAATGTATGTGTGTACCTTAACAATTAATTATAAATTCGTTTACTATTGTACTCCCTTAACTTTATATATATATATGTAACATAAAAAGCTTCAATTGATCTTTTTATGTTATCCTAATTAATTATTCTAATCGAAATACTTTCTCACACTTTTAAAAGCCACATCCTGTTCTTAAATCTATTTTTGGCTCAAGTATGCATTTAATTAAAAGCAGGACATTTTTCCCTTTGCTCTGTGTGGGAAACGCTTGATCTATTTCATAAACCAATAGCAACTACTAAGATTTCCCTCTTTCCCTAAATTAAGACATTTTATGGATTTTACTTTGCAAGATATTCCCTAACATATAACCAAGGAGCACAACTTTTCGTGTTCACTTTTTACACCTTCTCATGACTGCTCTGTCTAATAATTAATAAATAAATTTTGTACCCTTCTTCCCGACCTAAGACCTGTTTTAATCCTTCCACTCGGCAATGACGCTATAAGTCGCCAGGATTGAACTGTCGGGAAGGGGGTACGGTACGTACGGTACATTAAAGATATTTAATATCTCATTTGAAATTAAATAAATCAACTCCGGAAGAGGGTACATCAAAAATATGGAATAACTTCAAATCATTTTTTCAAATAAACAGTTGGTAAATAAGCAGTCAAATTCTTCTTCAACTAATGGCAATTAATAATTTATCCAGTATCTTCAACAAAAAATAAACTCTTCAATCATCAAACTCTTTGTTTATTATAAATGATACCTAAGCCGAGCGGAACTCAACAATCATGATACAACTAGAAAGCTGTGCTTTAATTTCTTTCCTTGGACTAAAAAGAAAAACTGAATCGAACTCCTATTGATGTTAAAAAGTTTTTGATTTGAAACCCCTTTGAGAAAGCGTTGATTTTGCCACTCTAAGTGCTGAGCTGGATTTAATCGTCGATGAATTGTTTTCACACCCCGGAATGGTTTACAATGGTCTCCTTAGATGTTCGACATTCCCTCCCACCTACTCAGAACTCAAAGTAAAATCCGTAAAATGCCTTAATTTAGGGAAAGAGGGAAATCTTAGTAGTTGCTATTGGTTTATGAAATAGATCAAGCGTTTCCCACACAGAGCAAAGGGAAAAATGTCCTGCTTTTAATTAAATGCATACTTGAGCCAATTTAATCCTTCCACTCGGCAATGACGTTATATATATATATAATCCAGTCAAAAAGCATTAAACCCTCCTGTATTTTTTATTTAAATTCCTGTATTTAAATTATTAATATCATCCAGAATATGATTATTTAAATAAAATTAGAATGAATTAAACATTAAATGAACGCTAACTTACTTTCCAATCATTAGGATTTAATTTTCTTAAATACTCTGAATCTTCTTCAAATTCAAAATCATCAGATGAATCATCATCGTCAGCACTAATTTCCAACTTATCTAATCGAGACAGGTGTATTTTATGCTCATTTTGTTTCCGTTCTTGGAATAGAGAGAACCACTTTCCAACAGGTTCAACTTTAACCTTCGTGAATTCTGCAAAAAAAAAACATTTTTTTCTTACTAACTGCTGCATTCAAATGTTAACCAGCTTCTTACCGAGTAAAACATAAATTTAGCTAAAACAATGAATAAATTGCCCAATCAAGCACGTGATTATTGAAAATATTTTAAGTACAAAATTAATGATGCTATGAAAACCAGAGTTGCAGAAACTGTCCTTTAACCCCCGTGTCAGAACCGTGGCTACACAGTGACATTGTCGCAGGACATAACAGAGTTCTTGCAGAATGATTTTTTCACTGGGAAGTTTCACTGGAAGTCTTTTCAGCAGAAATTTTCAAAAAATTTTACCTTTTCTTCAGAATTATATTCAAACCATGCCTTTCCCACGCATAGGAGTGGAAAAAATTGCTTATGATTTTTCTATTCTCATTTGAGAACAATGAGAAATAAAGAATAATTAAGTAAATAAATTTGGTTCTCTTTTCTGTAGAAATTTTCGTTGTTTTTGCACGCAGTTATTACAACTAATTTCCACATAGCTTTCAAAATCCGACATTTTTAATAAGATATTATTTATTTTAGTAACTGAATCTCGAAATGAAAGCATGCATTTAGTAACCCTTTAGTCCTTTTTTCGGGAGTTACTGAAACATATTTCATGATTCTTTAAAATTTTATTATTAAAATATAATATATTAATAAAATAATTTATTAAAATAAATAGCGTGTTATCTTCCTAGAAAATGTGAGAAGCTCATAATATCAGAATAAAAAAAGACATATTCAATTAAAAAAATCATTTTGTTTGATCCGATTTTTTATAGTTTACGTTTCTCTTATTTTAAATTAGTAACACACATATTTGTTATTGTTAAGTATCTTGCCGAAAGATATTAGTGCTTGAGAGTTTTGTCGAAGAAAAAATTCTGACACAGGGCTTTTAATCAGAGCTTATTCTAGGCAGAAAAAAGGTGCAAAAGTTTAAAAAAAAGGGCATTATCGTTCTCATCATCATATCTGGCTAGACAGCCCAGGGTGGGCCTTCCTTTGAACTCGAATCCACTTCTCTCTACTTTTGACACTTGTTCGCCAGTTTTTCTCCTTTAGAGTAAGGAAATCAGTCTCAACTAAATCCAGCCATCTCAGCCTGGGTCTACCTCTTTACCTGCTCGTTAGGGGTTTGTGTAATAGGATTTTCTTTAAATTTGAGTCATCATTCCTTCTGAAAATGTGAGCTGCCCAGTTCATTCGATTTATTTTAATGAATTTCACAATATCTGGCTCTCTGTAGATTTTATACAATTCAGTATTATATCGTCTTCTCCAGGAATTATTTATTTTTATCCCACCAAGGATGGCCCTCAAAACTTTTCTCTCAAAAAAGGCAATTTTATTTTCACCAGCTTGAGTTAGGTTCCAGGTCTCAGAGCCATAGGTAAGTATTGGCCTAATTAATGTTTTATAGAGTAAAAGTTTTGTATTTTTTGATAAAAGAGAGGATTTGAAAAAACGTTTTAAACCATAAAAAAGCTTTATTTGAACAAATTAGACTACTCCGAATCTCATTGTCTATGTTATTGTCGGCAGTAACTATTGAACCAAGGTAAGTAAAATTCTGAGCAGTCTGAAACCTGTGGGAACCAATCTCCAGATAGGATTCACTAGAATTTAATTTAGCAAGTACAGGCATGTATTTGGTCTTATCAGTATTGATGATTAGTCCCATATCCCTAGCAGCAAGCTCCAAAGAAAGGAAAGCTTCTTTTAATGCAGGAACAGTTCTTGCCATGATGTCTAAATCATCCGCATATATTTGAACAGATTTTGAAAATATGTTGCCTCTGATATTGATTTCAGCATCTCTTATAACTTTCTCTAGAACAACATTAAAAAGAAGACAGGATAAGGAGCCATTATTTACTTTAATTTCTTCAGATAAAGATCCCAAAAGTTTGACTCTGCATATGGTGTTTGACATGCTTGCTTCTACAAGTCTAATTAGTTTTGGTGGTACTTGAAACTCAACCAGGGCTTCATACAAGCGATTTCTATTAATACTGTCAAAGGTTTCTTTGAAATCAATAAAGAGATGATGTGTGGTAATACCAAATTCCCTGGCCTTCTCTAAAATTTGTCTAAGTGCAAATATTTGATCTTTAGTAGATTTTCCCTTGCGAAAACCACATTGGTAGTTTCCAATTTGAGGGTCCATATATTGTATAAGTCTCTCAAATAAAATGTTTGACAAGATTTTGTAGGTAGTAGATAGCAAAATTATACCTCTGTAGTTAGAACAAACCATGGTATCACCTTTTTTATATATTGGGCAAATAATGGCAGTGTTCCAGTCAGAAGGTAAAATTTCAGCATTCCAAATATCAGTAATAAGATTATAAAGTAGTTTTAGAAATACTGGACCATGACATTTTAACAGCTCCGCTGCTATCTTGTCGTGCCCAGTTGCTTTGTTGTTTTTTAACTTTTTTATAGCACTATCAACCTTGCTCAGTTCAGGTGGAGGCATATCTTCATTATTTTGATTTTCAAAAACTCTCCCAGAGCAATAGGATTGATCATGTTTACTGAACATTTCTTGGAAATGTTCACTCCATCTGCTGAATACAGCCTGTTTGTCTGTCAGAATCAAACCATCTTTACTTTTGCAGAGGTTAGATGTTTGTTTAAAGTCCATTCGACGTCTATTAATTCGTCTGTAGAAAGCTCGGCTTTCATTTATTGTCTTCAGGGACTCAACAAAAAAGGGCAAGGTGCAAAAGTTTAAAAAAAGGGCATTATTGTTCTAAAAAGGCAATAATTTCTTCCTATGGGCTTTACACGTTCTATTAAAAAAACATTGTCATTTTTTTTTCCTTTACTAAAAGTACCAAAGCAATCATATTAATTACTAATTTTTATTAATAAATTAACATATATATATATATATATCGAGCAGGGTTGGCAGGTTTTTGACATGTGACAGTTTTTGACGGTTTAAACTGTCACGTCAAAAACCTATACTCATATGTGAAATTTAATTAATACATAAAATTTATATATTTTTTATAAATGATAGTGTTTCTAAATATGTTTTAGAAAAAATAATTTTAAAATTTTGAAGAAACACTTATATTTTGAATAGTAACTAAAATCTTGTACTTTTGAAAGCTCACATCTTTTGTAATATTATGTATTCATTTTCATGTGTTATTGAAAATCTGCAGTGATATTATTAAGAAATTTATTTATAACCAAATTTAGTGTATAGTATAGATTATACTAAAAATTAGACATTTTTAAAGATAAACATTAGCAGTTTTGTACATTAGACATCTTTTAAAGAAAAATCTTTTTAATATTCTTTTAAATCTTCTTAATAATCTTTTTAACATAAGACAATACAAATTTAAGTGCTTTCTGTTAAATACACAGAGTAGTTAGTGTCGATTTACAGTATATTCAGCCTATTCATTTACTATGCTGAAAATTTAGTTTATCCAAATACTTGTGAATTTCATTTTGCTGAATACTATATAGTTTTGTTGAATATCTAAATATTCAGCTGTTGAATAATTACTTCTTGCTTTCAAGATATGCATTATTTGTATTCTTAATACAAGTGGAGAAAAAAAAATTAAGAGATAAAAATTGTTTTAAAATGATAAGTGTAATAATTATAAATAAATATAATAAACAATATGAATTATATTTATCATTATTCATAAATATAACTACTTTTAAATTCAAATTAACATACTGGATAATAAAGATATTCGGTATAACATTAAAAAAAAATTTTTATACACTTGTATCAAGTTTGTATTTATACAACATAACTTGTAAGTTCCTTATAAATATTAGTTATATGTTCCTTATATGTCAAAAATGCATAGTAATAAACTTTTAATTTTCTTAAGTATCAAAAAAAATTTTTTTTTTTCAAAATAAAAATATTTAAACAATTTTTGCGCAAAATTTTTCTGCACATGCATTTGAATATAAATTACTGAGATTTTAAATCTGTAATTTTACCTTAATTTTAATTAAAAAATATTTTAAAACCTGCTGATTACCTATAGTTACCTATAGTATAATTAAATTTCAATATAATGCATCGCAACTGTTGTTAGTTTTGACGTTTATATATTTTCTTGGCAAACTTCAGTTTTTGACGGTTTAAACCAGTATTAGTATTATACCCTTGTCATGTCAAAAACCCAACCCTGATATGAGTTAATGAGCTAATTAGCTTAGTAATTTATTCAAAATGCATGCATATATTAATAAAATAATAAATGTATGTTATTAAGCGTCTGTAGTCATGATTTAGTAATTAAAATGATTAATAATAATTATGATTTAATGATAGTGAAGTAAACTGCAAACTTTCAAAGACAAGTGCAACAAGGGGGTGTGATGGCTATTTTTCCTTTCCCTTATAAATCTATGTATTGACAGCGATGACAAACTAAATGAAAAAAGTTGAAAATAAAGAAGGGTTGAGGAAAGAAAGGTCAAAAAGGGTACTATTACATCAGGGTACTAATTTACTTAAGGGGCAACAGGATGGATTCTTTTGACTAAAAGGGCAGCAGGGTGCTGCGCCCTGTTTACCCTGCCTAGAATGAGCTCTGATTAAATTAAAAATATCACAAAAACACTTCAACAATTATTTAAAAAAATGTGTAGCAGTTAATTTGGGGAAAAAATATAAGTTAAAATTATTTTACATTAACTGATGTTACCCTCTTTTGAAAATTAAGCAACAGTTTTTCTTTTAAAGAAATGCCTTCAGGCAAGTTTACCTGTAGTGGAATTAGATTTTGCTAGACAATGCAATTGGACAAACTCTACTTGTTACCAGGTTTTGAAATAAGCAGTCAATGGTTGCAATTTGCACCTAAAAATTTAAATTTGACTCTTAGAACTTTACACACAGTTGTAATTTTTAATGCCTAACTTTCAGATATCTTTGCTCCTGCCCTTGTGGCAGAATCTTTTAGAGCCACCTGCAACAAACCTCTCTAGCACCAATATCTTTCTGCAAGATACTTTTAATAATAACAAACATATATATTTTTAATTTAGAATAACAAAAGTGCTGTGTTAACAAAAAAAAAAAACTATTATAATTTTTTTTATTGGAGATGTAATAATTTTTCGTTCTTATATTCTGAGTTATCTTCACACATTTTGTGGGGAGAAAAACTCTTTATTTATTTTGTTTTCGCATTTTGTAAATAATCATCACAATAAAAATCATGAAATCTGTCGCCGAAAAAAGGATCAACGACGAAAACACATGAATCGGATCTTCTCAAAGAGGGATTGCTCAAATGCATGTTTCATTTCAAAATTAGGTTGTTGTAATAAATGATATTTAAAAAATATCTGATTTAAAAACTATGGAGAAATGAATAGCAATAACTGCCATGCTTTAAAAAGTAAATACTCAAATGCACGATTCGAATTTTCCCCATTGCCTGAAACATATCGAGATATGTTTCAGGCAAACTATGTGAAAATTAATATCAGTAACTGCCAAAAATTAAATCGAAACATTATATCGATTTACAATACTATCGACGTAAATTGAACGTGTCAAAAAATGATTATCTAAAAGCATGATTTAGTAGAATGTCTGTTTAGAATGTCTGTGTAAATTTCTATAGAAAAGAAATCTTAAAAGTTTATACTTTTCAAAAGAAAAACCTCTCTGCAGGAACTCTGTAGCAATATTGCATTTAGAATAGAAAACAAATTCATAGATAAGGAACAACAATCATTCATGGCAAACATTCATGTTCACACTTAATCAAGTAATAGGTCACTACATATAAACATTACAGCTTCAAGAAAGTAAAAAAGAGCATTGAAAAGGTGTAAATGGGAAGGGATTCATAAAGATAACATGAGTAATGATTTACAGCTCTGGTACTACAAATGCAGAATGAAGTTCAAATTTCAATGAAGAAATTGAGCATAGTTTCTTGTCCTGGATGCTATTTTTATTATTCAAAGAAATGAGTAAAGAAATTTAGTTTTTCTGTCTCGCCTTTGTATGTTGAATTATCCACAGTCATTTATTTAATCAACACATTCTTGGAACAGTTATAAAATCTATAACTAACAAATGCTGCCCAGTGACAGAATTTTTTTAAACTATCTGTGACAAAACTGTCTAGCACTAAAATCTTTCTGCGAGATACTTTTAATAATAACAAACATACATGTTACTAATTTAAATAATAACTACTAATTAGCTATTAATAATAACTCATTTAATTTATTAAATAATTAACAAAAGTGGTGTGCGTAACAAAAAAAAACTATACTTTTTTTTAATTGAACATGTAATAATTTTTTATTCTAATATCATGCGTGATATTTTCAAATTTTGCTGAGGGAGATGGGTGGTAACACACAAATTATTTCCTTCGCATTTTGTAAAAATTACCATCACAATAATAAATTAGCTAAAAATCATGAAATCTGTTTTTGAAAGAAAAAAAAAATTGATGACGAAATCATGCGAATTGGACTCTACAAAAAGGGGTTAGTTAAATGCATAATAAATAATTACAATATCACAAAAATATCGGATTTAGACTTAGACTTAGAGGTTGGGCAGCTCTGACGAGCAGGGCACATCGACCAGAGGTCTATTGTACCCAAACCCTAAAATCATGATTAGCATGAAAGCCCTATGGCTGAAATAAAATTCAGCAAGCACCTTACAGGAACATCTTGCAGTTCCCAGGCATTGACGATATGCTGCCCTAAATGCTCAAATCTTTGAGCAGAATAGACCTCACAATCACAGAGTATGTGTCGTGATGTCTCTTCTTTTAGATGACATCCCCGACAAAGAGAATTGGGTTCAATCGAATTTAAGAACTATTGAGAAATCAATAGCAATAATGGCTAAAAATTCGATCATTGCCTTAAAAAGTAAATACTCTAATGCACTGTTCGAATTTTCCATATTGTTTGAAATATATCACGAAATTTAATAACTATGTAAAAATCAGTATCAATAACTGCCGAAAATACACATTCAAAGTGTGTAGCCAAATTAGTCAACAAAAACTAAGCACTTTTCAAGCACTCAAAAAATATTTTCAAGCACTTTTAAAAAAATATAATTTGGCAGGGTTGGAAAGGTTTTGAAAATTGACGGTTTTATCTTGTTTTAACGTGATGTAAAAAAAACCTTTTGGCATTGTTTTGAAATTTTGTATCATGTAAAAAGAATGGCGTTTCGATACGCTACGAACTGACAATACGGCGATATAGAATGTGGGTGAATTAATTGTAAAAACGTTGAATAGAACAATGTGAACTGTGTCTTTTTGCATAATTCAAAGCGTAAATCAACATGGAAAAGGGAAAATTAAGCACTTTAAAAACACCCAATGAAAAAAGCCCCTCTAAGGGCTTTTAAAAAACGAAAATAAGTACCTTTAAGCACCAATCGGTTGTTTATTTTTAGTTACAGATAAGTTTCTAAACCTCTTTATGAGAACTAATTCATGTACTTAGAGCATTGTTTTGTGCATTCTTTTTTTTAGTAATTACTACGGTTTTGTATACCGAAATATTTTTGGACATTTCAATGGAAATAATGCAATAAAATAAGCACTAAGTATAAACAGTATTTAAGGTTAAATATTTTCAGTTTATAGTCAAAATTCATATGAAAATACATAATGAATTTATAATGGAAAAATGTCTTAACTTATGCACTACCTTAAAGTGTAAACATACTTTTGAGAATATCAAAATAATTACTTATATCGACTTATGCGTAAATATTATATTAAAATGTAATACTTACCTTCTATTGGCGAAAAAACTTCCACCAATATACTGGTAGCGGGGGCCATAAAAACAGCTACAAATAAAAAGACTTAATATTAAATTGAAGAATTTTTTTTAATTCTTAAGTGTCAAAATTTTCCAAAAGAAAATCTTTGAATATTTATTAGTTTACACAGTGTAAATTGAAATCATTGTTGATCCGGCTGCGGTTAGATCATGGGGGTCAGTTAAGTTTGTGGATCATGGAAAAGTGCAAGGAGCTCTCTGTGTTAGCTTATAGCTCTGAGTTTCTATTAATGAAACTTATATGTTGTTGTTGCTGTTGTTAATTTACGTCGCACTAGAGCTGCACAATGGGCTATTGGCGACGGTCTGGGAAACATCCCGGAGGATGATCCGAAGACATGCCATCACAATTTTGATCCTCTGCGGAGGGGATGGCACCCCCGCTTCGGTGGCCAGACGACCTGCGAGCGAAGTCGAGCACTTTACGGTAGCACAGTTTAACGAGGACCAATACCGCACACCCTCGGTCCCTACGCAGACTGATCCAAGTGGCCACCCACCCGCACACTGACCGTAGCCAGTGATGCTTAATGAAACTTATAGTAAAGTAGTAAAGTACTTATAGTAAAGTAGTAATGATTTGCGCACTGCCTTGAATGCCAGCCGTTTTATAACCCTAAATGTTGGCGATCAGCTGAAATGGGTCATTGCCAAACGAATTCTATCGCCAAGAGCTTGGATGCCCGATTTTAAAATCTCCTTCTGTAGCCCCAGGGTGTCTCATGTGGAAGCGATGAAATTGCACATTATGACCATAATTTGTAGGAAAAGAAATACATACCAGAACATCTGTTATTAAAGATTTGTGCTGATGCTGGGTACGTATAAGTGTCACATTGCTTGGCTAAGTAGTTCTTAGTGTAACTATTTCACTAACTAGTCNCGTTTTTGTGTCTGATTTCGTAACTTAATTAATAGTTAGCACTAATTAATTAGCATATTTGAGGTCACCCCCAGGAACCATTAAGATTGACACTTAGTTCGTGAAAATCGGATCATTAGAACGAAAGTTACTCAGGGTGATATCTTTTTTTTTTTGCGGACTGTACGTAGATATAATAGTATGGAAATAATATATTTGAATTAGTTACTTGAGTGTATTGAATTTTCTAGAGCAAATTATCTTTTAAACTTTTGTGATTTCAGAATTTTTTATTATATCAATTAAAAATTCTAGCTGAAGCAGGCCAGTCATTGGCAAGTTTTTTTTAAATTTTTTTGAGAACAGAAAAATCAGAAGTATTTCTTAACTTATCAATGAACTGAAAAAGTATTTTTAGAATATAACTCAGCCAAAAAGAAATTTACTTGCTTTTGTAAGTTTTCAGCTATTTTATTGCTTCAATGCTTTATTTATTCTGTTTTTTAAATTAAAAATCAACAGATATGACGATGCAGGTTATAACAGTTTTGGCTATACTACCTATAATTTCAATTAATGTTATTATAATGCTTTTTTAAATTTACTGCTGTGTTTTTAAAATAGTCAATTTATTAAGTCATGAAAATAGTCATGATTTGAAAATTTAAAATATAGCAGATTCCGTGATTTTAATATAATATATTACTAGTTTTGAAATTTAGATTGCGTGTGTTTAAATTTTCTGTTTACATACTTCATTAGTTGTTTGATGATGCTATGATAAAACTACTAGTATAAATATTTTTAAATTAATATTACAATTTATAATAATATCAAGGGTTCATGAATCAATAATTGATAAGTACAAGTTGTGTTGTATCACAATTTGTGTTTCATGTTTTGTTTATCCAATTGCAATGCTTTTAGTTTTGTTCCAGGTTATGGTCATCAGTTATTGTGATGCATCCTTAAATTTAGAGAGAAGGCTTCTTCATCGACTGAATTTTCAACAACGCTGGCCTGAGAATTATTACAATTACCAAGTCAGCGCTTGTTGAAATTCCAGTTTTGATCCATCATGTCCAGTTTTGATCCTATATGATCTGTCAAATCAACATAATGAAGGAAGTGGAGATATTGAAGGAAGTGGAATTTTTTTGAAAGATATATCTTTTACATTATTATTAATTGGGTATCACTCTCATCAAATTTCGTATCTTTATTCTCGGATCATTGTTATTTTTTTAAAGCATTTTTTTTGTGTGGTTAATAATCCAAATTATTTTTTGTTTCCTTTGTATTCAGTCAAACAATTAATTGCAAGAAATATGA